AACATGGGCTTCTCTCTTATGTTCTTAAGAGAAGAGATTGGATTTCTACCCCGCCCTTCACTACTCGAAGGAGTCTCAGAGCGGCTCACAAACTCCTTTCCCTTCCCCTCTGACTGAGAACTGCTCTTTTTCAAGGACCGCTTGTCAGCTATGCTGCCATAAGGATTGGGGATGGGCTGCTTCCTATGTACACAGTACCGCTGCATTCCTTCTTTGCTTCTGTAACGCTTGCTTATCTATGGCCTTGCTGGTGGTGTGTGGTGTCTGGGATTCAGGGAACCGTGGGAGCGCCTTCGGTTCCCAGCTTCGGCTCTAATGGCCTGGGACTCCTTCTCCCGTGCATGGGAATGTGGCTAATTGGCCTGGGGAAGGGGTGTGTGTGCATACGAATACCCTATATCCCATCATGCTTGTAGGGGCAACGCAATTCTTTAACAGTGACTTTGTTAATGCATCTATAGCTCTGCAATAAAGTATAACCTTTCTGATAAGCGTGTACTCCGTTGTTGGCTGTGGAACCTGACACAGCTGTGCCAGAACTAGGGCTTGCCCAAGGTCATCCAGCAGGTGCAAGTGGAGGAGTGGGGGGAACCAAACCCAGTTCTCCTAGATTAGAGTCCGCGCACTTCACCACTACACCAAACTGGCCCAGTGAGGGATCTGTTTTTCTGTCAGTCTTTTAAATAGCTTGTTTACAATATTTGTATCCTGCACCCTCGGCTCGTCGATTCCCCAGTCCTTCCACGAGTCCATAGCAAGGAGAACTGCAGGTGGCACAGCATCTCCGCACCAGTCCCTCCCTCCGTTGCTCTCCCACTCATCCTACAAGGACCTCAGGGTGGAGGACGGGATCTTCCCCTCCCATTTTGCCCACACAACGACTCTGTGGAGTAGGCAAGGCTGAGGGAGAGTGGCCAGCCCAAGTGTCGTCAGTGAGCTTTACGGCAACTTTGAACCTGGGTAATCTGGCTCTGGAAACGTCTTCGCACAGCGCTGGCTCTTCGGCTTTGAAACGGAGATGAGCACCGCAACCCTAGAGTCGGATTCGACTGGCTTTCGAGCAAGGGAACCTTTACCTTTAACCCAACCGCTCAGCAATTTCATTGAGTGCCCACGAGTTCTTATATTGTGAGAAAGGGAGTCGGACTCGACTGGCTTTCGAGCAAGGGAACCTTTACCTTTTTAAATCTGGCTCTGAGGGCTTTTCCCCATGGGTTTTCCCCGTTGCTTCAGGCCCCGTACTGTTTTTTCCTTTCTGGTTCTTTTGAAATCACTTTTAGAAGAAGAGATTGGATTTATACCCTGCCCTTCGCTGCCTGAAGGAGTCTCAGGGTCATCTAGCCCACGGTCATATAGTCCAACCCCTTGCAGAAGGCAGGACATTCACAAATACCTCCCCCCCACATACCCACAGTGACCGCTGTTCCCCGCCCAGAAGATGACCAAAAAAAAAAGAAAGAAAGAAAACCCTTCAGGATCCCTGGCCAAACCAGCCTGGGGGGAAATGGC